TATTAGATTTAAAAATTCCTGTGGATAAAGTGAATTTATAAAATTCTTAACTAGTTTTACCCCTCCCCAAATACTTCCAAAATGTATTTTAGAGAAATAGCTCTAAAATACATATATTGTTCTTTTGTATTCTAATAAACAAGGAACCCTAAACAAAATCAAACCTTTACTCCTGCTAACGTTCAAGTCTTTACACCATCAAACAACATAGCTTCTCCATCCCTAATTTCCCACAAACCCTCTGCTCTAATCAAACTAATACAGTGTTCTCATTATTCATACCCAGGAGAGCCCTATCCATCTCCTTTCTGCCTCTTTAATGACCTAGCCACTGCTAATCACTACAGCTTAAAATGACTGTAGCATTCATCAGCTATTTCTCTTTCTGAGCTGTCTATATATCTATCCATCTCTGAGCTCTTCAAAAGTCACTTGTTCTTTGCCCAGGGCCTAGTACAGAACAGACACACAGTATTTTCACAATATACATTTTCTGAGGATGAACTCAAAAAAAAAATAAAGTATTATACTGTAGAGGGATAATCTGGGGACTACTGAGATATAAGCTGATTGTTCCTAAACTAAATGACCCCACAACAGTCAGTATTTATAACTAGTTAATCTACCATTTCCCTAACATCAGTAGATGTTATTTCTCAAGTGTTTCAGCTTCTAGTAGCCCCTTTCTACTACTAATGTTTATAAGACATTAAATTTTTATAATATAATGTACAAACTACAAAGGGCTTTTGAGCCAGTATATTTTGCAATGGAACATGTTTTAGCACAATGTTGTTTCCATACAGACAAGATGCTGAGAAACAAACAAAATGCTTTAAGCACACTGAATAGGTTGTGCCCCTACTGATTTCCTGATTCAACAAAATTTTTTTGACAGTCAGACTAACCCAAGTATAAGTGATACAGCAATGAGCAAAATAAATGCTGGCACAAGAAGAATCTTTGTTTTCATGGAGCTCACATTCTAATTTTATTTGAGAAATACAAGAGAAACAATAGACAATTCGGTTCCTGCTAAGGGTGCGTACCTCGGTTGCAGTTTGTCCCTGGCCCTGGTTGGTGGTACAGGTGGCAGCCACTCAATGTATCCCTTTCACATCGATGTTTCTCTCTCTCTCTTCCTCTCTCTCCCTCCCACTCTAACTGAACAAAAAAATGGAAAAAATGTCTTCAGGTGAGGATAAAAATAATTAATTAATTTATTAATTAATTAAAATATGCAAATGAGGGCCAGGTTGAGAATGAAGCAGCTCCAGTGCTCATGATTCACAGGTTGATAAAGGAGAACACATAAATGGAGCCCAGAGGAAGAGGCTGTGTTTGACCTGGGGCCAACAGAAAAGCCCACTCAGGGCAGATTTCACAGGCACCTGTTCAGAGTGGTGGCATGAGAGAAAAGGAGTGGGGCCTGTTCTTGACAATGGCATCATCATTTACAGCTAACAGTAATAGCCTTAAGAAAACTACAGCTACAAAAACAGATAAAAAGACATAAAAGAAAAAAATCAATTCTAGTCTTCAAAATAACTTATATTTAATAATGAAAAGCATCACAAGCAGTCTCTAAAACATAAGCTTGGGGCCCATACAATCTAACTGCTTCTGATGCTAGGAACCTACCTAACCTCCACCACTGGGTGGAGTCATGGGGTCTCAACCACTACAGTAATGCTAACAGCTGACACACTGTCACAAACTCTAAGTGTTCTACTTTCAACTCTGTTCTGCCAACCACGTTCTTCTTATGGTACCCTCCATTAGTGTCCTGAGAAAAATACCTTTATCGTACGTTATTCTTTTCCCACTCAATTCCTTGAGATCAAGGAGCAGGTATAATAATTAAAGACAAGGCTTTACTTTTGGAAGACATTTCAATTCTAGTGGATCAACCCAATCTACACTGAAAAATGTCAAATCATGAGCCCATGCATGACTTAATCTTTACTTTAAATATCTAAATGCTGAGAGAAGTTAAGGAAGAAATCATGTAAGATGTGCAATTTTAATCTGACTTTGAGATTAAGCACCTCAGAGAATTAATATTTTATCAAGAAATCCAAACTGAAAAGCAGTATTGACTTAAAAGCCAATTTTCATCACAAATAATTCCTTCAAATTCTGGGAGTTTATATCTAAACTACTACAGGGATCCTGTTCTCTTAATAATGAAGTATCATTTAAAACTTAGTTTACAGGTCTTGCCCTGGGCAGTTTTTCTCAGTGGTTAGAGCGTCGGCCTGTGGTCCAGAGAAACCCGGGTTCAGTTCCCGCTAAAGGCACGTACCTCGGTTGCAGTTTGTCCCCAGCCCTGGTTGGGTCGTGTGGGTGACAGACACTCGATATGTACCTTTCACATCGATGTTTCTCTCTTTCTGTCTCTTCCTCTCTCTCCCTCCCACTCTATCTGAACAAAAAGTGGAAAAATGCCCTCGGGTGAGGATAAAAAATAAATAAATAAATAAAACTTAGTTTACATATCTCTAAATATCTATGTTCTCTCACTTACTTTCAATATTAAAAGAATGATTTCATAGTCTCATAAGAAATGTGTAAGCTAGTTTGGAATTGCCCTCGGTGGTCATTAGAACTAGATTCCTCTTGCTGTTTGCCTGCTAACGGAGCACCGGCATGCCAACGTTAGCATGAAAGTTCATAGCGAGACTGATGATGCTCAGGTGAGAGCATCCCGGTTTCCATATGTTAATATTCCTCCTTAAATTATAAGCTGATCTGTAACACTGCACTACAGTTACAGTAGATGAAACACTGAAAGAATAGTTTGGTTTCACATAGAAACAGTTACCAAGACAAACTTTCTTGGAGGATGGAGTTCCAAGAATATTAAATCATAAGAAATTGTTTCAGCAGCTGGTTAAAGCTGAGTGTACATAATACAAGACATCTGGTTGTCTGTGCATTTTCAGTTCATTTAAAAAGTATAAACACATTAAAACACTGAAATGTTTGATATATTACAACACTGTCTGCTTGCTCCCCAAGAGTGTTTAAGTGGCTGGTCTAGTCGTTGTACTCGTGGCTTATTTACTAGTAAAGGGATTTACTATTTCCATCCCCCTTAACTTTAAGATATTTTATCAACAACAACAAAAAAAGATATTGCTGGTATTTGTAAGAACATAATGTAATAGAGGTAGTGCTATTCCTAAAATTAAATCAGGAACACATGAAGCATCACACATACTATTACAAGTAAATAGCGGACAACTTTAGACCATATGTAACAGAAACCTAACCATAGTAGCTTAACCAAAATAAGGGTTTATTTTTTTTGATATAAAGAGAAACACAAAGACAAGTGATCTAAGGTTGGTATAACAGTTCCATAATATCATCAACATCTCATGCTCCTGGGACACTATCCTTTGCATGCGGCAGTCTTCATCATACTTTTAAGATGGCCTCGGTGCTGCCTCCACATTCCAGAAAGCAAGAGGAGAAGGACAAAGAGCAAAAAGTTGAAGGTTCGGGCTCTACAAGCTCACAACTTCTGCTTATATAAAATTAGCCCAAACTGTCACGGGGCCACATTTCAGGCACAGTCCATTCCCAAGGTGCCTAAAAACTAAGCTGGCCACATACTGGCCCCCCAAACAATACTGGAGATCTGTTAGGAAAATGAGAAAAGTATATCAGGCATGCTAATAGTTGTGTCTGTCACAGAGTTCTAGATGCATGGGACATTTTCCCCCATTACCTTCCCTATCAGGTGATTCCTCAGGAATCTCTACCCTGCCTTCCGAGCTACACATCACCAGCCAAATCACAACAGGGTTTGGTGGTTCTCATTTCTAAATCTGTATTACAATTCTGGATGCTACGCTTATGCACAACAGAGGCCAGGAGCCCATTTTCTCATAAATACCTGTCTTTCCTTTTTGGACCATGGAAAAATAGCACATTTCCAAAGATATTCCCATGTAGATTGAGATCCTATGATGATAAATCTTAAAATCTACTTCTTTATTTAAAAAAATAATTTCTTTAAAATACACATTCTCAACAGGGATGATATCATCCCGCAAGAGAATGAAACTTAGTTGAGGGGAAAAACATCACAGATATTATAATGATTTCTGGCCCTACAAGGGGGAGAGGCAATTCAGAAAAAAAAAATGTCTAAAAAGGTTCCTCAGAGAGACAATTTTTTAAAAGGTTGACAGTAGCTCTTTAAAAAAAACAAACATTTTGAATCATGCTGGAATTGCATTCAGTTGCAGTGAAAGAAATCCATTAAATAAAATAAAAGTCTATTTTTCTCACATGAGAAGTCCAGGGGGCGACAGAGGGTATGGGGACTGGTAGTGATGACTGGTTCAACAGCTCAATTGCATCAAAGCAGAAATTTCTGTGAGTCTCTTGGCTCACGGTGCCAAGATGGCCACATAACTCAAAAGGACAGCAGAAAAGAGGGCTGTCAAGAACAGAAAGATAGGCCTCCTAGTTGAGTCAGGCCTCTTAAAGAGCTTTACTCATACTTTCATTGGAGAACCTCCCCCTACATCTCAATGACCACATCTAGCTTCAAGAAAAGATGGACCTGAAAATCCAACCTCTCCCTAAATGGCCATAAATAAAATCAGAAAGTAAGGAAGGAGGAGAGAAAAATAATGGATTAACAACTAGCTGCACCTACCACATCTGAATTAGTTTCTAATTTCTTTGCTCTTAAACCCTGTTGACAGAAACCTGTAAGTTCTCTTATTACAGAGGTTAATCTAATTTTGTGCCTACCAGATGTTTAGTATTGATTATTTTCCCCTCAACAACTCAAAATTCTTGTTTTGATGGATAGTAAGAGTTTAAATAGTATTAGGCAAGAGAGATAAAAGAACTCCATGAATGTACAACTCTTAAAAGGCATACATAAAAGTACTACGCTAGGACCCACAAACTCTTCAACATGATGAATTACCATATACAAAGAAGATAAAACAAACCCTGGCATAGCCAGAACTTACAGGAGTGGGATATCAGTGATTAACTGCATCAAACAGCAGACTAATTCTTCCAAGAGATCTTCTGAGTTGGAACCTGGTAAGACACATAAAAAGTTTATTAAGAAAGTATAAAATAGAATGGAGTTGTTTAGAAGTTCAGTTTTCATTCCTAATGAGAACAAGAATTGTAATTATTACATAAACTCAGACATTAATGTTGACTTCTGAATAAAATCCAAGTCATGACCACGTTAACATCTATTATGATTTTCATCTAGTAGAGGAATTTTGAACACCAGCTATCAATTATATAGTTTTTAACATTTGAAGGTATCTTATGACTCCTGTAGGCCAGTAGTTTTCAAACTTCTTATACTGCACTGTTTTTTCAAATGAAATCTTATACTGAAGTCAAATATATAAAATACATAACAATCAAGCTATTCTAGCTGCTTTGTTTGAATCAGGAGTAGAGTACCTGTACTCCCTCCCCTCAATAAATATCTGACCTTGCCCTTGATCTTCTTGATAGAACTCAAAGAACCTTTTCTGAATGTGTGGAGACTCCACAGATCACAGACTAAAAATGAGTAAGAGGCCAATGAGTAAGAGATGTTTGCTCTTTATAGACAAAAAGCCAAAGGTAAAATAGATTTCCAAGTCATAGTACAAGTAACAAAGGTAGGCTGCAAATAACCGTCCCAATGGAAATGCTCCTCTGTCCCAAACAGCTCTTAGTGACTTCTGGCTTTGGACAAGACTTACACACCTACTTTTCCATGAAATTCTTTCTTCCCTCGGTTCCTATGACACCTTATTTCTAACCTACCTCTCTTTCTATTCATTCCCAGTATCCACTTCCTCAGAATACCCTTCAACTAACTATTGGTATGCTCCCGGAGCACTGCCATTGGCTCTCTTCTCCTCAGTTCTCACTCCCTACAATCTCCTTTATCAGTCATCACTTGTATGCTGGTGATTCCTAAATCTACAGTTTTCCTCTTGGTCCCTCCACTGAACTTCATCGTTATATCCAATTGTCTGCTGGTAATCTCCCCCCAGATGCATCATCAGTACTCAAGCTCAACATGTTTGAAACTGAACTCATTTGTCCCAACACTTCAAACCCACTTATTTGTTCTTTATCCTCCTTTTTGGTGACTGCATCAGTTAACCCAAACCCAAAACACAGACTGCGCTCTCTCTCTCATTCAATCTCAAGGTCCTCTCAATTACACAGTCACCTCTCTGTTATTTCCTCTTCATTCCCTGTCATGCCTTCGTTCATTATTTCATTATCTCGGTTCAGTTGAACAAGTTTGCTAAATTAAAACTCACTTCTGAACTTTAAACCTTCCTTATTCTACATTTAAGTTTACTCCTCTCCAATCCTAACTCTAGATTGTTATCAGAGGGACCTAATTACATTCCATCCTTATGGTCTCCTGGCTTAGATCTTTTCAATTGCTTTAAGTTGATTACTGTGTACCAGAAAAAACTCTTAAGCTCCAAAGTACAGCATGCCAGACCCTTCACAATATACAGGCTCTGCATCCCTTTTTACCTTATCTTCCACCATTATTCCCTTCACAATTTATATTCCAGCAATACCAACCTACCTGCTACATGCTACTTTATGCCTCCTCAATAACATTTTCTCTGCCTGGAATGGCCTCCAACAATAAAAACCTAATTTTTTTTAAAGCCAATCTTTATCCATCTGAACCATCCTAAGTCTTCATTTCCTCCATAAAACCCAACTTTCTTGCCTCACTTTGAACAAAATTAATCATCTAGACCACATCTATGCCTTGCGCATGTCTTTCACTGCATATTTTGGCTACATTATATCATAATTTCTTTCTACATGTAAGCAGGCCCCTATTGGACTCTACATTTCTCAAGGACGATGACTAAGAGCTTGGCATGTGATGCATACTCAATACATGTTTGCTGAACTGAACCCAGCTGTCTAAGTATAACTCTAATAGCTATTTCCAAAGCATCAAAGCACTTGGAGTCTCAAAAAAATTTAGCAATTCTTTTTTCTAGACCACAATCACCTAGTAGTCAGAAATTATGAAGAAACCCCTTCCTGCCTTGCCATAAATAGAACTGGCACAGTAACCCTCTGAGAGGTGAGTGCCAAACTTGAGTAGAACATTAAATCACAATGAACACACCAGTCAAAGCTAAGAAGAATACAGCAAGAATAAAATTCAATAACCACACTAAGGTAGGCTTATTAGTTCAAGTGAAGAAAGTAAAACAAGGAAATAAGTAACATTTGTCTATGAGGCTATGTGATAAGTAGATCTAACTAAAACTCTTCTCCTTGTCAAAGCTATCCAACATAACCACATCAGTTAACAACCAATTCCAACAACCTGATTTGCTGGCATATAATATATGCTCAATACATGTTTGTTGAATCATCTTTCTGGGTTCATCCTATAGAATGTAGTGACCCAGACACAAGAAGAACATTTCTTTTTTTTAATGTTTTTATTGACCTTTTTCTTTTTTTTTTTTATCCTCACTCAAGGACATTTTTTCCATTTTTTGTTCAGGTAGAATGGGAGGGAGGGAGAGAGAGGAAGAGAGAAAGAGAGAAAGATCAATGTGAAAGGGACACATCGAGTGGCTGCCACCCGCACGACCAACCAGGGCCGAGGACAAACTGTAACTGAGGTACGTGCCCTTAGCGGGAACTGAACCCGGGTCTCTCTGGACCGCCGGCCAACACTCCAACCGCTGAGCCAAACTGGCCAGGGCTATTGACCTTTTTCTTTTTTAAGAGAGAGGGAGAGAGAGATAGAAACAGTGATGTGAGAGAGAAACATTGATCAGCCACCTTCTGCACATCCCCTACCAGAAATAAAGCCCACAACCCAGGCATGTGCCCTAACCGGTAATCGAACCAGGACCTCTCAGTCCATGGGACTGATGCTCAATCCACTGAGCTACACTGGCCAGGCCCAAGAATAACATTCAAAATCATTCATTGATTCCTTATTTCAGACCAAATGAACTGGACAGTTTAGTAACATACCCCTGTTAAATCAAGCAGCCAGCAGTGTTTTAGTTATAGAAGGTGGAGGAACAAGCACTCAGGACCCACAGATGGTGCCTGATTGTTTTTTTTCTTCCAGGGGTATAAACACATCTAATTTTTAAATCTTAAAATGGTGACAAAAATTCTCTATTCAGTGCAATGTGCGATCCAAATCATGACCTTGGCCAAGTTTACAGCTGAGTTAATTAAGGAGTATAGTCACAGCTTTGTTACCTATTTAACATAATAATAAAAATAATAAAAAATATATACAAGTAAAATGTAACATATCAAGGCCCAAGCTCTAACAAAAAGAAAGACAAGAATAAACAATTTCCAGCTAAACTCTCTGACAACTTCCATTTATCTTAAAAAGAAAATCCTGCAGAATACTTTATGCTTGTTTCTGGGCTAATCTAGAAGCAAATAATTGCATATCAAGTGAAGAGTGACAAGATTTGACTGCTTGCCAGGTTTGACATTAAGCAAAAGTCACTCTTACAACATTATTTCCAAAGCAGTATTTATATCATTCAGCTTTCAGATGAGGATAAATATCTTTCTTAGTTCCATTAAAAATAGGTAAATATAAAGTCAGCCTCTAAAAATTATAGTAACAGCCCTGGCCAGTTTGGCTCAGTGGTTAGAGCGTCCGCCTGTGGTCCGGAGAGACCCGGGTTCGGTTCCCGCTAAGGGCACGTACCTCGGTTGCAGTTTGTCCCCGGCCCTGGTTGGTCGTGCGGGTGGCAGCCACTCGATGTGTCCCTTTCACATCGATGTTTCCCTCTCTCTCTCGTCCTCTCTCTCCCTCCCACTTTGTCTGTACAAAAAATGGAAAAATGTCCTCGGGTGAGGATAAAAAAAAAAAAAAAAAAAAAAGCTAAAAATTATAGTAACATACTCATGCATTTCAGAAAGATGATCTTAAAAGTCCTTCAAATTTGAATGACATTGTAAACTGAGGTCCTTTGAGCAAATGACTTTGCAGAGATTCAGTATGTTTACTGAACTGTGAAGTTTACAACCCAGTTTTATCTCTTAAAGTGTTTTAAATAGCCTCCATAGCTCCAAATACTTCAGTATTTTAAATGTTAGCTTCTGGAGATAACATTAATGTACACTGAGAACTCTACCTTTGGAAAGGCACTGTGTTGATTATTTCATTCTCTTTATCCCACGTTAATCCTGACAATAACTATTTAGGAGTGGGTATGATTACCATCATTTTACAGATGAAGAATCAAAGCCCAGAGAGATTAGTTTATTTACAGTAAGGGCAGAGCCCAGATCTAAACCCAAATCCAGAGTCCCCAAAAAAAGAAAAACCTGCTAAATTATTTTTAAGACTTGTTTTCAGTCCAGCCGGTGTGGCTCAGTGGTTGAGCATTGACAATGCACCAAGAGGTCACCGGTTCGATTCCCAATCAGGACACATGCCCAGATTGTGGGCCTGATCCCCAGTGGGGGGCATGCAGGAGGCGGTCAGTCGATCTTCTCTCTCATCGATGTTTCTATCTCTCTATCCCTCTTACTTTCTCTCTCTCTAAAATCAATAAAGGAAATAAAAATAAAAATAAAAAGACGTGATTTTATACAAAGTTGGGGGGGAAATCCAGTCAACCAACCCATGTTTCACTGACGACACCAACTATAAACCCCATTAAGTGAGTACTATGAGCTACATTAGGAGAGAAATCTGCAATACTACATATTAGTTTACACATCGAGGTGACATATTATTACATATTCAACACATACCGGAAGTTCAGTCCTTGCCTTAAATATCCAATTTGGAAGTAATTTCAAACAATGAAAAAAATGATAAACTATTATTATGGTATTGTGCAGAACAAGGTCACTGAAATCCCACCCTTACCCCTAGGGTTCTCTCACTCTCAAGCCCTAACCGGCATCTCTGATTTCTAGGCGTGTCACCAGAGGAAGAAGCAAAGAAAGACAAGATGATATCTGTGTTCCCTTACAGCTCTAATAATCTATACCTGAAACTACACTTCGGTTCCTATTTTTTGTTTTAGGCA